GTCAGCCATAAAAACGTTAGCATACTGTGGGGCCATGCGGGTACCCATAGCAGTGCCGCTGATTTGAAGGTATACATTGTCCCCAAATGTGAAATAGTTGTGGGTAAGGACAAAGTCACAAAGGTCAGCCACCAGGTTTGCTGTGACATTATCAGGGATACTGTTCCTGATGGCTTGTAGTCCATCTTTGTGTGGAATGTTGGTGTAGAGGGCTTCTACATCCATAGTGGCCAGGAGGGTGTTTTCTAGACACCGATGGATTGTAGTTTCCTCAGGAAGTCAGTTTTGTCTCGAAGATAGCTGGAAGTGCTGGTAGCGTAGGGCCTGAGGAGAAAGTCTACATTGACAGCAGGATTGTCTGGCTGAGTGCCAATGCCTGAGATGATGGGGGCGTCCAGGATTCCCAGGTTTATGGATCTTGGGAAGCAGATAGAATACCCCGGTCGGTTTCATCCAGCCAGATCTCAGAAATACAAAAATCAGAGACCTCATCCAAGGACATGCCTGGGTTAACCTTATTAGGCAGTGACCTTCAATAAGCAGTGTGAATCACAGATCATGTTTCTTTCCTGCCAGTAATCTGGAGTCTCTACTCAGGAGTTCAGAGTAAGAAGATGGGATGGATCTGAAACACCTCAAGTGTGTTTTAAAACTAACGGATTGTCTTTTGCATTACTGGTCTTTACCTGCTCCTTATCTCTCTTTGTCAGCTCCAAAAGGGATTGAAAGTCTCCAACCCCTACAATGGTGCTACCCTATGCCACCAGCTCTTGGCAACATTGCTCAACTCTCCCAGGCAACCTACAGAAGCGGCACAGTTGCAATGGCAGAGTAGCTGAATAAGGCCCTCAAGGGCAGGCTGCAAAGCCCAGCTGAAAAAAATCACATGGCTGATTAGCCCACTAAATGAAGCTTTCCTTTCTCTAAACCACTTCCTCTCCCCCTCACCCCCGGCGGAATTTTTAGGGTATGAAGAATATGTCAAGCAGGCAATGTCAAGGAGGAAAAGGAGGGAGACTTTTGGTTGTAGCTTATAACCAACTAAATAGATTTCAAAACTTGCTCTTGCCTAGGCCAAATCCTTATGTGCCAAGTTCCAGACAAGAGGAAAAAAACCAAAAGCAAACCACAAAACTTTTACTGTCAAGCAAAAAGCCTTCTGGAAACAGGTGATGGAAATGCTGACCAAGTAAAGCAAAGCAATGCAAGTATTTCTTAAAAAAAAAAAAAAAAAAAAAAAAATCACTTCATTCTATACATTTAGGCCCTGTCCAAACTATATTTTTTAATTGATTTTGTAACTGGTTAGAGCCTTGGTCACCTTAACTTGCAACAAGTCACATGGTTCAGTCTGCATCCACACAGCCATTTTTCTGCCATTACAACCATGTTTGCCCACATGTTTGCTTCCTGGAAAATGCACCCATTTCTTAGATTTTAACTCTTCAAGGAAGGAACGAAGTGTGTTGGGTTATGTTTGCACAGTGCCTGGCATAATGGGGCCCCTATCCTAAGTGGGATCTCTGAGATCTACTGCAAAAATAAAAACAACAACATTCTGGCCAGATATCCACTAATAGCTCAGTAGGAGATATAGTGCCCTGGTAGACTTGTTCACAGAGTAGAACCAGCATCATATGTACTAATGCACTCAGGTATGTCCTACTGCAGAGAGAGCTGAGAGGAAGGAGGACTAATCACACAGAGGAGAAACCATGGGGTTCTTTTTTGTGTTGAGTGTGTTTATGCATAATATTATACATACATGTATTTACTTTACTGTCATTTTGTCCTTTCACTCTAATTCCTCTGTTGCATCCACTGTTGAGTTGTCATAATCCTAGTTGTGAGCTCTGAGGAAGGGACTGGTTTTGGTTTTTTTTAAATTAGGTTTGTAAAGCACATGGCATAATGGAGCCCAGATCCTTGGCTGAGGCCTCTGGATGATCTTTTAATACCATCATAAATATAAGGGCAACCAGTTTGGCACAAGAAGACAGCCATGTGCCAGACATTCCTCTGGCAAAATACTCTTGGCTGCCACAGCGTTGATAACGTGGGGCCTGGTCACACACCAAATTTAGAACCACCGATGCTAATAACTAGTTACAAACTCAAGTTGAAAGTTGCAATGTGGACAGGGCCTAAAAAAACGTTTCAGTTATGTATTATAGAATTTCCCATTCTAATTTAATGTATTTGTATGGACAGACCAGTTCCAAGAACAGAACAATACAAAAGAGCTACTTATTTCTCCATGGATTTACTATCAATGCTCTTTGGATTTTCAATTAATGTCCTACAAGGAAACTACCAGAGTTTGCTAGAAAAAAAAAAACCCGTGCATTTAAAAAGGGAGAGAAAGTACCTATCAAAGGGCTCCTTCTTTAATTTACAATTATTGTGCATAGAGGCAAAAGATATTTGAATTTCATGCAGGGTGTGTTTTAAGACAAGAAGAGTAAAGAAATTCATAGATAAGGTTGAAGTCATTTCCATAAAAACCTGCCTATATGATTAAGACAGCATTCAACCCAGTCTTGTCTGTAGCTGACTTTTTCGCCAAAATGTTTCTCACTGGAAAATGTAGATCTGTCAACACCAAAACTTATCAGTCTCAACTGAGCTTCCATCAGAAAGGTTTTTAGATCCAGGAGGTTTTCGTTTGGGGTATTTTTGGGGGGTGGGGGGAAGAGAAGGAGGAGAAGGAGAAAAGGAGGGAAATGGAAGAGACCCAGATGAATGCCTAAATGGGATATGGGAGACCCAGGTTCTAGAGCAGGTACATCCCAGGGGAGTGCCCTAATCACCAGGCTATTGACTTTTCTGGTCTGGCTGGTTCTCCCTCCCCCTCCCCAAAATCCCCCAATCTCCATCTTTATGTTTGTTCCACAAAAAAAAATTTATATAGATTCAGAGATTAAGGCCAGAAGGGTCTACCATAATCATCTAGTCTGACCTCCTGTATAAAACAGGCCACAGAGCTTCCCTGATTGAATTAATTCCTGCTTGCACTAAAACATCTCTTAGAAAAAAACATCAATCTTGATTTAAAAGTTTAAAAAAGGTCTCACTTTGGTTCTGATGCAGAACAAAAAACAAATGTTGAAACTTCAAACCTTTTTGCAAAATGCAATTGTTGTTTTCTTGCAACCCCTAGTCCTATCCATATAGGTAAACCTATTTCAACCTATGTTTCTAAATCATGCTACATTAATCATGCTACATCATCAGTGAGGTCCAACACCACAGCATGATTCTGTAAGTCTTGGTCCCATCTACACAGGCAAGACCAAAGCAGATTTTAACCTCTTGGGAATACTACCATGTTGTAAGTGAGTCACCCAGCACAGCAGTTTTCCCTAGTACAGACAGGGCCTTGCTCACCCTGTTTTGCTTAGGCATTGAAGATCACATGAAATGTAAGGCCATCTACTACAGTAGATCCCTACTAATCATCTCTCTCTCAGACACACACACCTGCCCCCAGTTCTCAAAGTATTAACAGCAGAGCGTAATACTAAAAATATTATGATGTATCTTAAGTATTTGAAATTAGACTACAGTTGTCAGAGGAAGTGAGGAGGTATACATTTTGCAATGCACTATTTGTTCACTTGCTAATTTTTAAAGTCAGAAACTTGTAATGGGTCTCCCAGGCATTAGTGCAAGTCAATGACATTCTGTTAGACATACACATTTTAAAGTCCATGTTAACACATACACAGTAATATATTTCATTTGTACAAGGGGGCCACATTTCAGTTGACATGGCAACCTTAACTTTAAATAGCAAAGGATCTGATCCAGTGGTGGCCCAAAGCAGTCATAATACTGGCAGATCCAGCCTCTATAGGATTCCCCCCGTGTTGGGGAATCTAATGTGAAGCCAACATAATAACAACATTATAGCATCCTAGCCCCAACTGCTGGAGAAAAAGGAGATGTTGGAGGGCATCTTGACATCCTGGGAGTTAAGACTCCCCTAACTTACTTTGTGGACTGGCTCAGTCATCAGCTAGCCTCAGGATTAGGGGTGTACAAACACTCAGGTCTTACTCTGAATGCAGCTCTGCCATATCAAATGATCTGGGCCCTTCCCTTCCACTCAACTAAGAGTTTGTTATTAAAAAACAAACAAACAAACAAACAAACAAAAACAAACCTACAATCGGGGAACCTAAAGCTAGACTACTCTGACATATGTGCATAGTTCACAGGACTAATAGGAACAGAAAATTAATAAGAGAGTGGGTGCTTAGTACCTGTGAGAATCAGGCCATTTTGTGTCAGGGGCCTAACTGTAGGCACTTAAATTTGAAAACTTAGTCATTAGCCTCTACAATTTTGTCCAAATTATGCCACCCCATGCAACTTCCACTGAAGTCAGTAGAGTTGTGCTTGTGCATCTCATGGAAAGAATGTACATATTCCAATGGCCACATTCGGTCTTGTTTTAATGTTGTGTGCTTCCTTAAGGAAAAAAAAAAAAAAAGTGTTCATATGCTAGTTCTCACTTAATACCTACTTAGGGTGACTTTCCGGACCCATTAAAGACCAGGACAAAATTCCCATTGAATTCAACGGGGCCAAGATTTCACCCTTAGACTTTGTACCTACTTGCCCTATTCTTATCTGGTTGCAGTTAAGTAAAACTTTTAATCAACAAAACAGAAGTGAGTAAGAGCCGGTTAGAAGTACTTTATTCTCCAGAATGTTCCTTTCCTTCCCCACCCTAAGCAGACTAACAGTAATGAGAGGGGGAAATAATGGGAAAACAACATTTGGCCATGTGACCTTGACAGATGCATAAAACTAAGAAGCAGCTCAATTTTGTGGTCAATTGCTAGCAGCCCTGAAACACACTCTGAAACTTATAATTGGCTCATATAAGCATGCACAGGGTTTACAACAGTCCATAACTCAGAAAGTCCATTGCCAAGCTTAGTATTTTAAAAAGGAGTAACGATTTTAATCTATTAAGAGAAAACAAAGTTTACCTTCTCTTGGGCTGACTTTACAACACTTACAACCCGTCTAACTGCTAGCTCCAGTGGCTGAGGAGTTGTGTCTTCTTCAAATGTAAGCAACAATGAATCCTACGAAACAAGTAAAACGTTTTAATTAAATTATTTTCACTTGAAAATAATAGAGACACTGTCATTAAAGTTTTTGAAACCATCAGATAGTGTGAGTTTTCATATATAAAATTGCAGGGATTTTTAATCTTATCCACTATGCTCCACTACATAATGCAAGGAACGTCCTGGAAAACTTGTGCTGAATTTCACTCTCATAAGGCCTGATCCTGACTCATCTTGACAGCAATGGGAGGTGAGGGCACTCAGCATATTGCAGGTAGTTCTACTGAATTCAATGAAGCTACTCTCATGAGTAAGGTTCTCTCACAGCTACCATAATATAAATATTTAAAAATAATAGTAACAACTGTTTTCAGGATTCAGCCTAATAACACGAATACTATTCTACAGCACGTTATACGGCTGGCTGCATGATCTATCCCAAAATGAAGAGATCTTTCAAACAATTGTTTGAAAGATCTTTAAACACACAACAATATTTCTGCAAAGTATTAAAAATAAAAAACACCCCACGCCTACAAAACTGACCAGAACCTAGGAAGAAGAATATGATGTAAACGTAACACACACAAAGAGGGGGAGAGAGAGACCCCTAAAATCCACTGCTTTGTGAAGTCATGTTTTCAGAAACAACAGTAATTACATTTTACTCATGCTGTGTGTGCTCATTGGCTGCTGCTGCTGCATTAACAGACTGCCCAGGTTAAGTTTTGCTTTGGTATAAAAGAGTACACATGGAGGAATTTCATTAGTGTTGTGATGCTGACTGAGCGTTTGGGAACCTAGCTGAGGTGTCAGGCAGCGAATTCATCAAAAGAAAAGGCTACAGAGGCTCTTTTGGGGAGGGGGTGTGAGTGAGAGAGAGAATGTTGTTTTCTGTATCTGTCTGCCTACAGTGTGATGTTAATTTCTGTCTCCTGGAACCTGTCCCCAATTCATTACAATTCTTAAAACATTTATTTTTGCCGAACTCTGTCCTTCATCTATCATAACACCCATAATTTCCTCACACATCACTGGTATTTTAAGAGGACAATCAAAGGTATTTCCAATCAACCTTCCCCATTTACAATAATGCCTGGAGAATTTTAAATTTCATACACACATACGGGTTGCTTAGAAATAATAGATTGCTAACAAAAGAACACTGGCTTGAGGAGATGGTGCTGAAAAATACACATAAAAATCTACTCTCGGAAACATAACATTTCCCAGATGGTTAGAATTGGGTATTTCCATTGACACAGCAAAGTTTCAATTTCAGTCCAGGAAATTACAGTAGGTTGTTGTGGCCCGACCTACCCTTGCATCCTCCCTTCAGATCCAGAGTTTTGTTTTTTAATACTATATATAAAGTTTTACATCCTTTACACAAAGATACTGGGACTAGAAAGGTAGGTCAAATATTGTGCATGCCAATTCAGACAATTTTTTTTAAGTTTCACATAAAATCCAAACATAAGTTGCATGACTGACACAAGGTTGAACATTATCTTATTTTACTCTATTCTGCTCCACTCTACAAGACTGAGATCTGCCAGACAAACAAAAATAAGTTAAACAGAAGTAAACATCAAAAATCTGAAATGTGTTCAAAAACCATAAATGAGAGGGGCTGGAATTGACCAGTTTTGAGAGTTCTATACAAGGGGAAAAAAGTCTGGCTCATGATTATGCTCAAATAAATTTGTTAGTCTCTAAGGTGCCACAAGTACTCCTTTTCTTTTGGCTCATGATTGACATTAGAGTCACGTGACAAGTCAGGAAGTTTCTACTATTTACCTCAGAGGTACAGGACAATGTTATCAATTGCATATGCAGAGTCTATCTTGATTGGTTGAGAGGTCAGCAACACCCTCTCTCCTGCACTTCTAGCCATCTCCCTTCTATATATTTTTTTTAAAGGAAATAGTGGCTAGAACAGGAAAATTTCTAGATTTCACTGGTAAAGATATTCTGAATAAGTGTCCCCATACATATATTTACTTCTTGTTTTGGCAAACATGGTAAATAGTGGGCAGGGCAAAGCAGGAGTCAAATAATGACATTCACTGCAACATAATCAAATCAGGTAAACATTATATATGTTTTTATTAACAAATGTTTCTACAGTTAGCGTTTTTCATAGTCCCAAAAAGACTTGATTCATGGTTAGCAAACATAAGAATAAAACCAGAGTCTGGTGAAGTTCTAGCATGTTATTGGGATAGACAACACTTATTTAGCTTTCGTGGCAGACTCCGCAACCACAAGAGTGCTCTGCAGGGGAGATGCAAGCCTTTGGGTCAGATTCTACTTTCACTTACACCAGCGTACATCCAGTTCACTGATGCTTTATACTCCTGATTTGTACAGATGTAATGGAAAGCAAAATTTGGCTCTTGCATTTCCAAATTCATATGTATTTACCAAAATAGATTTGCCTTTTTAATGGAATGACAGTTTAATAAAGTGGAAGGAATCGTACTGATTTGGTAGGAAGTGGGAAGAAAGAGATTTTAGTTTAAAGCTTCCAGAAGGCAACTATGAGGAACAGTGAGTATTGTAAAACGTCAACATTTGGAAGGGAAAAATAACTTGATAATGTCCTTACACTGTAATCTTAAAAATCTGAGGCTCGGTTTTCAAAATTACTCTCTAGGACTTTAACCTACACAAAAGTGCAGAAACAAAAGCCACAACAGTATTTGAAAGTCTACATATAGGATCCTTTTGGAATAAGAGTTATAAAGCCATTTCCCCACCCCCTTTTCACCAGGTTCACTTCGATTTGAAAGTGATCAACAGGGTTACAGTCCCATGAAACAGATCTCCATTCAAAACCATGCGATCTCAAGGAACACATACTTGCAATAAGTGCAGGTGCCCACATTATGGTATCACAGACGATCGCCACGTCGTTTTCAGTGCAAGATTTTCACGATTATTTTTCCCCCCCAGTATAGACGGCCACTTACCCCTCTCACTTTGGCTTCTGCATTCAGGGCTGTTATCCAAGCTTTCTGCCACTGGGTCCTCCAGCTGTTCAGAGACAGCACCCAGGCCAACAGGGTGTCATTTCCCTGCAGAAGTTCATCCGACGACGGCGGTTCCCTCCGGCTGTTCCGCAGAGCCACCAGAGCATATTGCACCAGGTAGATGGCCAGAGTGACCAGGGCAGCCACAAACAGAGTGACCAGGGTAAACCACTGCATCTCGTCCACCCAATACGCCGGCCAAGCCATGACTGCACGGAACCGGCCAGCTGCCCCTCTCTCCGCCCGTACGGGCTCCCCGTGCCAGGGTCCCGCCCCGCGCCGCGCCGCGCCGGGGGAGAGACGCTCAAGGCATTTGCTTCTCCCGCGCGACCGCAGCCCGCCCGCTGAGAGCCCCGCGCCGCGGCGGGGACGCGGCTCGCCCTTCGCAGTGCAGCGGCAGGCGCTGGCTGGCGCAAAGTCCGGCCCGAGGACGCGCCCGGGCAGCGCAAGCCGGGAAGACCCCGCCCCGCAGCCCCGAGCGGAGGGAAACGGCCGCCAGGCCCGGCCCGCGTAGGCGACGCCCGCAGGGGCCACTAGGGTCCCGCGCCCCGCTGAGGCCCAGGGGCCCCTGGCCGGCAGCCTGCGCCGCTGCGTCCTCTGCGCGCTGCCCAGCCCAGGCCGCGCGGGGCCGGGAGCCTTGCAAGGGCCGGGCCGGGCGGGCACCGCCGTCGCATGGCGCCGCGGCCTCTCCGGCGGGCGGGGCGGGCGCTGGGCAGGACCAGAGCCCCGCGCGCCGCGCCGAGCCGCTCCGCCCCCGCTTCAACCTGGAGCCGGTGGCCGCTGCCGCCGCCGCCCCTTCCCCGCCTGCGCCCCCTCACAGCCACCGGCTCCTTCGTCCTTAAAGGCGCCGCAGCCCCCGCCTGCGCCCTGCCTTTGCAAACCCACAGGCGCATCGCCAGCCCAGCCAGGAGCCGCAGCCTCCCAGGCGCTTGGGGTGACAGGGTAGGAAATGGGGGGGCGGGACGGGACGGGACGTGGGGGGGGGGGGGGCTTCGGAGGGGCGGCGAAGTGCGCGGCGATGGGCTGCCGTGGTGTCGTTCGTGCAGATGGGTAACAGAGATGTCCCTCCTGTGAGGTGCATGCCGCAGACATGGAAGTGCGGTGAAGTCACCGCGTTCATTGCTTTCTTCGTGCAGCCCCCTCGGCTTGGACCAGCTTCCCCGCGCCACGTTCCCCCTGCAGCTCTTAAAAAAACCCACTCTTCCACGCTACTCTAGAAGCCACCCGGCTGTAGTGACATTGTGCCCCTCTGAGCCAGCTCTCCTCCTGTTCCTTGGGGTGAAATTATTGACCCACCCTCTCCCTGGCTGGGCCAGTCCATCTCAAAAAATTGTGGAGATTTATGAGAATTTTTAAAACATTTCTGATACAAAAACTGTGGTTGAAATGTCCAACACTGGAAACATTTCAAACAGCTCTATATAAACTGGTTTTTAAAACCCAGCAAAAATGATTTTGAAAAGATTGAAATGTTGACCAGCCCTGGTCAGAATGGAGTACCACCATGGCAAAATCAGAAAGCATGGAGCCTGCTCACAGACTCCTTTGTCCCGTGCAAGCCACCCAGCCAGCTCTGCAAGGGCACAGGGGAGTTTATGATGCTGGCCAAGGGTGTATAGAGGTCAGAGCCAGTGGGATCACAATTCAGACAAGGTATTCTTAGTATTATTTGTAGTTCAGTAGCACACAGAGATCCCAACCAAATTTAGGGCCCCATTGTGCTAAGAAACATACAAAATCATAATGTAAAAGACAGTTTCTGCCTGAACAGTTTGCAAATTAAATACATAAGACTAGTTGGGAGGAGAAGCGGAGAAACAGAAAGGTGAAGTGACTTGCCCAAGATCATATATCACACCCAGGAACAGAACTCTTGTCCTCTTGGGCACAGATAGCTCAGGGGTTTGAGCATTGACCTGCTAAACCCAGGGTTGTGAGTTCAATCCTTGAGGGGGCCATTAAGAGATCTGGGGCAAACATTGGGGACTGGTCCTGCTTTGAGCAGGGGGTTGGACTAGATGACCTCCTGAGGTCCCTTCCAACTCTGATATTCTATGATTCTATGTAGATCATGTGTGTGGGGCACAGTGTTCGAAAAAAGCTGTCTTGGTGCTCTGAACTCTGAGTTGGAGTATTTGGGGAAGGGTTTAATTTCCCCCATTGGCTCAAAGTGACATTTGTTTTCATGTTGGATTTGTAATTCTCCAGTTTTACAGTTTGTTTTTCTGTCCTAATTCCTGCACAGCTTGATAGGACTTAGTGACACATCCTGGTGTTTGCTTCTCCCTTCCACCAATTACACTAACTTGAGTAGTTGCCATTGTTTCCTCCCTCATTCACTCTCTGACCATGCCTACGCTAGTTAATTAACTGTTTCTAATTGAACTGGTGGAACAGAACCAACTGAAGTCCAAGTAAATGAGTGTGCCCACATTAGACACGGTGATTTGTGTTCTGTGCCATTACAGTTTTGGTTCATGTTCTAACTGGTACTGTTCTAAATTGCTTTAGTTGCAATGCCTTCTGGGTATCTATCCCACAATTTCAAGCACATCTTCCAGAAGCAAGGGATTCTGAGAGATTTCAAAGGCCACCAGTGCAATATTGGATAGTAGTGGGAGGGCTACTTGAACCATTGTCCATCTACTGTCATTAAACATTACAGACCGGAACCATGCTTATTCAAACACTATTTGGCTGTTTAGAGCACTTGTTGCAGAGTGTTTTACATGCCTGCTAAGTGGACCAAACAGTTTTTAGAATTGCTGTAGTGTAGACAAGTGCTTTAGGCAGGGTGTGTGATGAGAATAACTGCTCCAATCTATGTGGAACAGATGGGAATCTAAATAAAGGTACTGGACAGGACACAAATTGGAGGCAGGTGCCCAACTTTCATTGCCCTTTTTGCCTTTGAAAATCTCCCCTGAGATTGCTGTATGACTGGTAAACAACATTTTGGAAGGGATCAACCCCCATTTCTCTATAACAGCATATGAGCATTTTAGGGGGAGAGCCCCCATAATAACACTTTTGAAAGAGTAACACTCCGCAATAGCATTTTTGGGGAGAGTAGCCCGCAATAGCTTTCCCACCCATCCATTTCACAGGATGCTTTTTTTTTTTTTAAAGCAGGCAGGAAAGAGGGAAGTGTACAAGAGTTTACTATAAATTTCCTCTTCTTCCATCATCCCATGACAGAGGGGGGAATCAAGGCTCAACTGTTCTTTCCTCCAACCTCAAAATCCTTAACCTTTATGGCAGGGGTGTCAAACTCATTGGAAGAAGAGGGCTGAATTCTACATTTAATTATGATTCATGGCCCAGGGTATAAATTCAGGACTATATACTCTCAATAAGACATTGATGTCAATTGGCAGTTTGCACAGATATCAAGGAAAGGATATGGTCTTTATGCAGGTTTCAGAGGAACAGCCGTGTTAGTCTGTATTTGCAAAAAGAAAAGGAGTACTTGTGGCACCTTAGAGACTAACCAATTTATTTGAGCATGAGCTTTCGTGAGCTACAGCTCACTTCATCAGTTAGTTACTGCATCACTTTATGCAGTAACTAAATGTTTTGTTGTTATTTGTTCAGTACCTCATTGTCTCATTCATCTTCAGTATGCACCCTTTTTGTTTTCAATATGTTTCTGTTTAAGCCTACTGCTGTTTATTTCTCCTTCTTCTCCATCTTCCTTTCTCAATTTCTTCCCCCTCCCCTGTCTTTGGGAATCTCCTCTGTTCTCTGAATTCCCTTCTTCCCTGCAGCAATTCCAGGTTTCCAACCATGTGGGCTGCGCTCCCATCCTCTTCCTAATCTACCCACTAAAATGATGAGTGATTAAAATATTAAATATTGATGTTGGCACTGAAGTGTCACCAGAAATCTGGGGGGGAGGCCACAACCAAAAATTGCAGCGTCACTCCAGAAGAGAGATCTCCTCCTACCATCAGAAGGGGTTGCCTCACAGCCATTGACTCCACAGGCAGCAGCTAGCCAAGGAGATACACCACTGCTCTGCTTTGCTGCATCAACACTTCAGAGAGCAGGGCCAAATGGAAGGCACAAATCTGGTGGGTGTGTGGGGGGGAGGATGTGACCTCCTGTGCCCCCTCCCACATGTCACCTCTGGTTGCTGGCACATTCATGGACCCCCTAGATTATACTGGCAGACCCCTACCTGCATGCAGACCACAGGTTAAGAACCACTGTAAAGTCTATATTCCAATCAGCTTTAGATGATTACCAGTGCAGACAGAAAATCGAAGCTGAGATTCTGGAGAATCTGAACAGGTCATGGAGACCACATAAATAAATTATGTTCTAGCCACATGTTTGACACCCCTGCTCTCTGTCTCCTCCAGAATCAGCTCCTTGTCTTTCTGAGAAAGCCTGCAGGTAGCAGCAGCTGCGGATTCGAGGCTCTGCAGCCTCTGCTTCATGTGCATGCTCTCAGGCTGCTATTTACCCTCCCACACCCGAGCCTCTTAGATGTTTATCTGCCACAACTGTCCATTTCCAAGCAAGTGAAAAGTGAGAAATAGAGACAGAAGGGCTGTGCATGGAACAGGGATACATTATTTAATACATTATTTTAAAAGAGCAAACATAAGTTGCCAGGGTCCTTAAGTCTATGGGAGATTTGCCTGAGAAAGGACTGCAGGATTTGGCCCTACTGTACTTACGTATAGCGTAGTATCCACTTGTACCTTTAAATTTGTCAGGGCAAGGACGTGTCATTTGTCTGGCCCAGTCAATTTGCTGTATGGGGATGGGAAAGATGGTGTAGGACACAGGACACAAGGGTTCAATTCCTGGCTCAGCTACAGAACTCCCTGTAGTACTGTAGGCAAGTGACTTAACCTGCCCCATACTTCAGTTCCCCATCTATACAATGGGGATATTATGTCCCTATCTCACAGGAGTGTTATGAGGCTAAAATCTCATAATGAATGAGGTGATAAGAGTTAGATGTAATAGAATATTGTATATAAATAATAATACAGTAATAACTGCCCCCGGAAATATGACTGGCTGACACATTTGAATAGATATTATTACTCTCAAAGTTTTATAAAATCTGTTATTATTAGAAATGTTTTTCAAATGTAAGGATTTTGTGTTTTGCTTTTTTTTCAGTTTGGTTTTAGACATTCCCCTGCAGTGCTTGCAATTCAAACACTGCACCATTGTGCTGGGGAATCAGAGGCTGCAAAGGGAGCTTCCTAGAAACTAACTAGAAGCAAAAGTATCAGAGGGGTAGCCGTGTTATTCTGTATCCACAAAATCAACGAGGAGTCCTGTGGCACCTTAAAGACTAACAGATTTATTTGGGCATAAGCTTTTGTGGGTAAAAAAACCACTTCTTCAGATGCATTTAGTGAAAATTACAGATGCAAGCATAAATATATTGACACATGAAGAGAAGAAGCTTATGCCGAAATAAATCTGGTAGTCTTTAAGGTGCCACCAGACTTCTTCTTGTTTTTTAGAAGCAAAAGTGAAAGTGACTAGCTTAATTTCATTGCTCAGACTCAGTTAAGTGCAAACTATGTATTTGTACTCTAGAGCG